GGCCACTGCACTCCAGTCTGGGCGACAGAGTGAGACTCCAACTCAAAAGAGAAAAAAAAAATTAAGATGATAGTTCAAAAAAAGTAATAATAATCCCATAGAAGAGTAGTGATCATTTAAGATGTTGATGAATGGATAAAATTAACCCCAAAGTTTTACTCCTGAAGCAGTGAACATGGCAATAATGGTATATCCATACCAAGGTCTTGGTTGTGTGCTTTCTCTTGTCCTTCCAGGTATAACAGACTGTAACCAGTCCAGAGCTTGGGCATGCCCACGGGGCAGGCAGGTTCCCGGTCTGTCTGACTGTGGAGAACCAGGAGGAAGCCACTGAGGTATCCAGGACCAAACCCTTTGGGCCCAGGATCCCCAGTGGGACCAGGAGGACCTAGAAGAATAAAGAAAAAAAATGAAGGCAGGTTAGGGGTTCAGTTTAACAACTTATGTACTTCTGTTCTGGTGCTGTGCTAAGCACTCAGAGAACAGAGAAGAGCATGACACAGCCCCCGTCCCAGGAGTGTCCCCCTCACAGGACTTCAGTACACACAAACATTCAGCAAGTATTTGTCCCAAGCAACTCCTTGGTACTCGGGCTACATTAGCATAAAGACAGAAAACAGAGAAAAACCCCTGCCCACCTAGAGCTTGCATCCCACTTGAGGAAGAGATATAACAAACAATAAACATAATAAATAGATCAGTTGTGAAATACACTGAAAAGGAAAGAACTGGAACAGCATAATGATACCCCCCAAGTGTGGTCTCCCTGCCCTCTCAGACTGGACTGTTGAGCCGGCATTCTTCCAAGTCAGGCTTTCTTATGCCTCCCAGACCTCTCTCATGGTTCCAGAATATGATCAGTTCCTTTCTGAGAAAGGCAAGGGCCTGAGATCCACATGCACCACCCTGGATCTCTTTAGTAGGGGAGGTAGGTGGAAGGAAGGCCTCTTTCTAGTATTCTTGTTGGCAAAAGAGAAATGAACAGCTGTAGAGAACGCCAGAGGGCTCTGTCTCCTTTGGCATCTCTAAGGGGCTGACCTATTGAAGAAGGCCAGTAACTATTTCTAATTGCCAAAAGCAAAAGGTGAAGTTAGACTTTGAAACCAAAAGGTGTTTTGTTTTTTGTTTCCTTCACTTTGTTTCTGCAAGACTGTCAGGCTCTCCCTATCAACACTGTCAACCAGGAATGACAGAGTGGTAGCCTATGGACCGAATCAGGCCAGCTTATGTGTTTTGATTGACCTATACGAATTTGACAAGTTGAAATTCTCAACTTGAAAGATGCAGAGTTTAGGGAATATTGGGCCTGCGTTTCTATGGGCGACAATATGCTAAAGCTGAGCTGTAGCTTTTAGACAAAACTCCATTTTGGTGCATCCCCCACCCAACCCTCCTTACTCACGTCCATTCATTACACCCTGTATAGGAGTTTGCACTCCTTGCCACATAATCCCTGGAGATGGGATTCTGTCTTAGAGTCTTTGGGTCTTGGTACCTACTATGCTACCTGGTACATTATATTTCAAATTTCTATTCTGAAGAGTCATATAACACACAAAACAGCCCTGTATTCTATATTAAGGTATTGGTGGCTATATGATAAGGTGAAATGAACTCAGAAAAGCGGAGGCCAAGTGATTCCTGCAACTGTAGAAGGTAAGAACACACCCACTGACCCCAAGGTCTTCATCACAGCCTCTCAAGGGTGATCACACAGCAAGCCAGGCTGACAGACCCTTCATCACCTTGTTGAACAGCTGAAATGGTTGAGCCTTGGGTAATGCTGCATAGCAGTTCGGGAAAATACTAAATACAGTACAGGGCCATAGCTAGATAATATGATGATTTAGCATCAGGTAGAACCTGGGAGATACATTCTGCTCTGTTCTCATTGCTTCTGTCTCCCCGATACCTGGCAAGTGGACATCTAAGGAAATTGCTCTGGCTAGGATCCAGTCTGTAAAGCTGCTTGAGAAGTCAGGGATTGGGCACACAGTTCTCAGATCTGCATTGTCAGAGAAGAAAGGAGAAACTGAAAACTCTACCTGGTGCTCCAGGGCAGCCAGCTTCTCCTGTGTCACCCTTGCGTCCAGGAGGCCCAGGAGGCCCAGGGACACCATCCTCACCCCTCCTGCCATTCGGGCCAGGCTCTCCTTTGCAACCTGCACAAAAGTTCATGATGGTTGTCATAAAAACAACAATGACACCTGTTAACATTTGCTGCGTGGATACCATGTGCCAGCCCTGGGCTCCCTTCCCACCTTGATTATGTTGTATCAGCTCATTTAGTCTTCCCGCCAACATGCAGCTGGGATTATACTCCTCCACTTTGAAGTTGGGGTAACCAAGGCTCTGAAGATCAAATAATTTGTTTAATTAAAGTAAAAGAGGCAGTAAAGGGCTGGACTAGAATTTGAAGCCAGACCAGGGAGGTGTTGAGAAAGAGGTTTTCACATTTTTTTTGTATTCTTGTACATTTGATTCCATTTGAAACATTGAACATGTGTGGCATTTATAATTACATATTATCCTTAATAATGATTTTTTAAAAGCTTATGTGAAGGAATAAATGAAATTTAATAGTTTTCAATTGGGGGTCAGATTACATCTGGAGTATGATAAGGGCTGCTGTTTTTTAAATAGCTTTTTATTGCATGTCTACAATGAGCTAGGTAACATGCTGATTCCTTTACATGCATTATCAAGTTCAGGCTTCCCAGCAGCCACATGACTGGGTACTTTTATATACCTGTTTCACCAGGTCAGAGACAGGCTCAGAAAAGGCACAAAACTGATCAGTCTTGGAGAGGAAATTCGGACCCGGAAAGCTGGGATTGATGGAGGTTGCACCATCAACCATCAGCCCTGTCCATCACAAGTTGCAGAGCTCTGTGCACTCCTTAGAGAATGTGAGCTGGGGCACTTAGCAGCACTCACACTGAGCCTTGAGGGTTTTTTAAGTGTATGGTTCTTTTTTTGTCAAGACCTCAATTCATTAGCCACCATCTCCATTTGGTTGGGGTAGCAGACAGTCATGATTTTTGGTAGGAGTTTATTGTCATTAACCCTAACTACCTGAATCACTAGCCTTCTCCAGATTTCCAATCTCTACTTGTTATTCACTCTCTCTCTCTACCACAATTAGCCTGTTATGGGCTGATCTGTATCTCCTCCCAAATTCATATGTTGAAGTCCTAATCCTCAGTACCTCAGAATGTGACTGTATTTGGAGATAGGACCTTAAGTGAAGTAGGCCATTAGGTTGGGCCTTCATCCAGTTTTACTGGTGTCCTTATAAAAAGAGGAAATGTGGACATACAACAGGACACCAGGGATGCATGTTCCTAGGATGGCACAGAGAAGAGATTGTCTGAGGACATGGGAAGAAGGCAGCATCTGCAAGCCAAGGAGAGAGTCCCCAGGAGAAACTGAACATGACTTGGCTCCTGGATCTTGGACTTCTACCTCCTACATCCAGAACTATGAGAAAATACATTTCTGTTGTTTAAGGCACCCTGTCTGTGGTGTTTTGTTATAGCATCCCAAGCAAATTAACACAAACTAGAACCAACCATTAAGTTGGGGGAGGGGGGGCAGAAGTTGTATAAGTGGCTTCCACTCTTGCCTCAGCCTTCCAGTGACTGTGGAGATGACAAAGCTGAGGATATTAAGTCAGCCACTGGAATTCACGAAGTTGCCCTCCAGATAACATGGATTCCAGACCAAAGCACCAACCCTGTCGTGAAAAGGATGTACAGAGATTGAAGGAGATTTGATTCAGTGTGTCAAGCTAGCAGGAATCAAAGATTTCCTATACAGTTTCCTTCTCTTCAGTGTTCTTATGAGGCCCCTCCCTGTGGCCCCAGGCCAGGCCCTAACTCTGTTCACAGTTAGTACAGTAGCTAACTTGCCTAGAGCACCCCTAGACTGTAATTGTCCCTCTCCAACCCACCTGAGCAACATTAACAAGGAACACAGGCCTAGACATCACGAGGACACAGTTACTACTGTTTCTGAGAACAGAAGCACAAAGATGTTCTGGGACAGTGGTCCTCAGTCTTTGGCATTAACCTGCTTCAGTGGGTCTGGAATGGGTCCCAAGAATCTGCATTTCCAACAAGATCCCAGGTGATACTGATGCTGTTGGTCTCAGGAACCACACTTTGGGAACCACTGTTGTAGATGATTAAATTTTAAAACTCTTTCTGGTGATGGACTTGGTGGTATATCCTGCCATAGCCTACATTTCTGCTTATTCTTAAGACCGGAAGTTCTACTCAGGGAATGTATCTTAAGGAAACAACAATAACAACAACAAACAAATGAACTATTTATTCTGTATCAGGCAGTGTTCTCAGTGCTTTTTATGTTAGTTAATTCATGTAATTCTCACAATCAGCCCCCCCCCCTTTTTTTTTGAATCAGAGTCTCACTCTGTCACCCAGGCTAGAGTGCAGTGGCCTGCTGGGCTCAGGCGAGCCTTCTGCCTCAGCCTTCCAAGTAACTGGAACTACAGGCACGCGCCACCACACCAGGCTAATTTTTTTATTTATTGTAGAGATGAGGTCTTGCCAAGTTGCCCAGGCTGGTCTTGAATCCCTGGGCTCAGGCAATCCTTGCACCTCGGCCTCCCAAAGTGCTGAGATTATAGGCGTGAGCCACCATGCCTGGCCTAATCAGCCCTTTTTTACAGGTGAGGAAACTGAGTCATGGATAGGTTCTATAGTAGAGAGAATTATGAACACATGCAGTCTAGTTCCAGAATCCCTGTTCTTAACCATGGCACAATTTTTTCATGATAATCAGGAATGCTTATAAATAAGATGTTCATCACCAGTTGCTTATCCTAGTGAAAAAGTGGTGACACCCGAAATCAGAATGATTCTTCTAAGTGTAGTCCCTGGACCAGCAGCCGTAACACCTGGGAACTTGTGAGAGAGAAAGAATCTCAGAGCCCTCTCTATACCTAACAAATCAGAAGGTCTGGGTGGGTGGAGCCCATCAATCTGAGTCTTAACAAGTTCTCCAGGGGATTCGGATGCTTTCTAAAGCTTGAGAAGCAGGCCTTAAGTGTTCCTTGTGATGCTCCGTCCCTACCTCCAAGTTAAGTTCCCCTATTACCAATTCCCACATTACCCTTTGTTAACACTCAACACATTTGACCCATTTGTTCAAGGCCTTTGTTTTCTGCTAGCCTGCTGCTCCAAAGGGCATGACCTTGTTGAATTAATTTCTTTCTAGCAGAGCAGCTAACACCAAAGCAAGAGCTAATTTGTGAATGTGGTGGTCACATAAATCATGGCACAATCATATCATGGCATATTCTGCAACTACTACAGCTAATACTGTAGGAAAATATGTAATGACATAGAAGTAAGGTCATGCCAAGAAGAGCAGTTTGCAAAAGAGTGTGCATGGGATGATCTCTTTTTTAAAAGCATGCAAAGTCCATTTCCCTGGGCTATTATTGGTCTACTTAGTGTCTCAATGTCTTCTTGTTTCAACCTTGGGATGTTGTATGATGTCAGAAAGTCCTCCATCTTACGCAGCCATAAAGAAGGACAAACATGGACTTCACAGCAACTTGGATGGATTTAGAGTCTATAATACTCAGTGATCTATCACAGAAACAAAGAACTGAGTACCGCATATTCTCACTCATAAGCAGACCCTGAACATTTACCATAATACTATAAGGAAAAGATTGACAGTAGCAGGACACTGCCAGAGGAGGAAGGCGTGTCACATAACATTAATAAGGGTACCTGATCTCAAAGTGGGGACCAAAGGGAGGCCCAAACTTTTACCTGTATGATGACCACTTGTATACCTAATCTTGAATTGTACCCCACATCTTTAAAATTAAAAATTAAAAAAAAAAAAAGACTGGAAAGATATACAGGCAATTGCACCTTTTAAAAATGTGTTTCTTCGTTTATTTTTATTTTTACTTTTGTAATAATTTTTTTTCCTTTCACCAAATGCCTCCCCCTAGGCTTAAGGTATCCTCTCTTATCTCTTACTACATCTCTCCCTACACAAATGGTCTTCAACACTAGGTAGTTCTGCCTTCCAGGGAACATTTGGTAATGTCTGGAGACATTTTTTGATTGTCCCATGGGGAAAGGGGACCTACTGATGTCAATTAGGGTAGCAGCCAGAGATGCTGCTCAATGTCCTACAATGCCCCAAAAGGCCCTCGAGGATAAAGAATGATCTGGCCCCAAATGTCAACAGAGCTGGGTGGAGAAACCTTGTCCTACACTGTAGGTTGCAGCAAGAGTCTTGCATTCATTTGCCAAATATGTATGAAGCACCTCCTATGACCCAGGTCTCTGTAGGGATTACAGCACTGACAAAAATTTTTTTTAAATCCTGCCTCCAAGCTGCTTCTGGTCTCAAGAGCAGGGTTAGCAAATTATAGTCAATGGGCCGCCCACTGCCAGTTTTAGTAACTACAGTTATATTAGAACATACTAATTCAACAACATATTATCCATGGTTGCTTTCACAACAACAGCTCTGAGTGGTTGCAGTAGGGATCTTCTGGCTCCAAAACCTAAAATATTTACTGTCTGGATCTTTACAGGAAATGTTTTTTGACCCCTAGTCTAGGGGATGTACAAAATAAGCAGGCAAGTACATATACCTCTGATGACACTAAATATTGTAATAAATAAACACAGAGAAGGCCATTAACCTTGGATTTTAGAGTCTAATGGAAAAAGCTTCCCAGAGAGGGTGACCTTGAAGCTGAGACACGAATGGCATAATCCAAGTAAAGGTCGTTTGGGCAGAGGGAACAACATGTGCAAAGGCCTAGATGAGAGACAGGTCATGGGGCCTTCAAGACTTAAGTGAAGGACTGCCAAGGGGTTAGAATTTGAATTATAAGAGATTGGTGGCTGAGTGCAGTGGCTCATGCCTGTAATCCCAGCATTTGGGGGGACCAATGTGGGAGGACCGTTTAAGACCAGCCTGGGAGACCTAGTGAGACTTTGCCTCTGTAAAAAAATAAAATATTAGCTGGGCATGGTGGCACGCACCTGTTGTCCCAGCTACTCCAGAGCCTGAGGCAGGAGGATTGCCTGAACCCAGGAGGCCAAGGCTGCAGTGAGCCAAGCTCATGCCACTGCCCTTCAGCCTGGGCTACAGAGTAAAA